CATGTAGTTAGTCATGCTGCTTTTAGTGTAGGCCTTTGTTCATTTAGCTAATGATTACAGAAACTTGACTTGGGTTTTGTTTTGTTTTTGAGGTAGTCCTTGCAGATTCATAGACACACCACTAGATCCTATGGCATGCTAAAAATTTAGTTAGTGGCTTAACATTAGCAGTATATCCAGGGAACATGTTATTTACTGTGATAATATTGTATATTATGAAAGAGTGGAGCCTTTGGCATTGCAGTTTTTTTTTGTATAGTTTATTATTTTGCAAGGCAGACCGTTATTTAAGTGTAAATGTATAATTAAGTACTAACAAGAATATGTTAGTTAATTATTTCTAATATCACAATTTAAAATTAAACCTTTTTTTCTCTTAGAATGACAAGAATAGTCCCCCAAAAGAGGTTAAGTATGAACCCTTTTCATTTGCTGATGGTAAGTGGATGTTCGTTTTTCATTTTGGTTTTTCAAGACAGGGCTTCTCTGTGTAGCCCTAGCCCTAGTTGTCCTGAAACTAGCTCTTTCACCGTGTAGCTAAGGGTAATTATTTCTATTCACCTATCTTAGATTCCCAAGTATTGGTGGGATAGATATGAGCCTGGCTTAAATTCAGGCTTCTTAAAAAAATAATTTTCCTTAATGTAACTTAAAGTGGTATAGTTATGGGAAATAAATTTAATTGTAGCTCTGCACAGTGGCATTTAGTGGAGTCCAGTAGAGCACTCTTTCTCCAGTCCTAACTTGACGATTGTTATTACTTTGAGAGAACATTATTTGTTGTCTATTTTAATTGATTCCCTTTTCTTTAAGATATTGGCTCCAATAATTGTGGCTACTATGACTTACAAGCAGTGCTAACTCACCAAGGAAGATCTAGTTCTTCAGGTCATTATGTGTCATGGGTGAAAAGGAAGCAAGGTAAAAAGTATTGGTTTAGTTAATTAACTACTACTTTATCACTGCAAACTTCATAGCATTGTGAATTTTTTCATGCCTTTTAAAAATTAAAATGAAAAATAATTTCCTGTAGTTTGTATTCAGGTGTGTGGGTATTTGTGTATAGGCCAGAGGCCCATGTTGGGTGTTGTCTTGACAGTTTCTTACTGAGCCCAGAGTTAGATAGAGCTAGTCAGGGAGCCCCTCAGCAGTAGTGTTATAGACAGGAGCCAGCATGCATAGCTGCTGCCTGGGGAACAGAGCTCAGGGTCTCATGTGTGTCAGGTCTTACTCACTGAGTGAATCCCTAGTTCCTAGTCGTGGTCTCAAGGCCTCCAAGGTTTGCTTCTCTTTTACTTTCAAATTTGTAACATCAGTAGCTGAGAAATCCTAAAAACTATTGCCCAAGCAAAAACATCATGAAGTGTTTACATTTTGTTTACATTTACATTTTGTTTTCCTATTGTCCAGATTAATATGGCTAGATTCTAATGTTTTGAGGGTTTTTGGTTGTTTTGATACTAGGTTGTTTGATACTTGCAAATCACATTTGCAAGATACCTTGCATACGCTGAGCAAGTGCTCTGAAACAAGCTACATCCCTAGTCCCTTTCATATCTGTCTATGCTTAGACTTGGATTGGTATACATTATGAAGCTTCTGGAAAATTGCATGCTAGGTGACAATGAGGGTTGAAAGGCAGATCATGCGTTAAAAGTAGTGCTGAACTATCTGGGATGTCATGGAAGTCCCTAGGGGCACTCAGTGCTCTCGGCAGCCAGGTGTCATGCTGCATCACATTTGTTTTTTCTGCACGTAACTGTGTGCTGTCTTCTACTTTAGATGAATGGATCAAGTTTGACGATGATAAGGTCAGCATTGTAACACCAGAAGATATCCTGCGGCTGTCTGGTGGTGGAGACTGGCACATTGCTTATGTTCTACTTTATGGGCCTCGAAGAGTTGAAATAATGGAAGAAGAAAATGAACAGTAATCTTCAATTTAGCCTAGGTGTGATATAAAATTTTTTGTTATCATTTCTATAATCTTGAGCTCCAAAGGGAACAAAGAACAGAACCAGGCCTATTTCTTAAAGAGACTACAAAAAATTACATTTGGGTGCTACCCTGTATAAAGGTAGCTGGATGACGGTCTTTAAAAGCTTATATCGTACAAATTCCCCTTTGCCCTTCCAGCTCAAGATTTAGCAGTGATGTTTATTGCACACCTATTTGTTCTTGCATGGTTAATATTCAGTAGCTGCCCGTCCTTTGCCTTATCTAACCAATATTTTTCTAGGAAGATGGAAAGGAAGTGTTGCTCTCATCGTGTAACTCATGCTGCTGTCCACATCCCATCAACTGGGTGCAATCAAGTATTTGTCCAGACTGACTGTTGCTGGCTTTTTATGACTTTACAATAAATTGTGATCAATAAGAATACATTTGATTTATACACTTATTGTGTCTGTAATGTACTGTGATTTATATATTTAATTTTGCATTGGTTTTGTAGTAATCATATGTCAACAAGCTCTGGTTGCTTATTTTTAGAAAATGAGGATATTTGATAATAATAAAGAGGGATTAATGACTTTTGACCTGTCTTCTTAGTGTTGGAGCTTGACTGAAGAGTCAGATGAATTCAACACTATATAATTTCTGCAGACTGCTAATAATCTTAAGCATCCATTTAAAATACAAGGTTTCTTAGGTTGTTATCTCAAAAGAAATACGAAGTTGGACACTGAATCCAGTAATCAGTTTCAGTCCTTTGCTCATTTGTTGTTTCTGTTTTCTTTCCCTAAGTCTGTATGTCCATCTCTAAATTTAGTATTAGTGATCTTTAAAATTAAGGTATACATTACCAAGAGTATCTGAGTAAGATCAGTCTATTAACCTATTCTGATTAGTCAGTTACTCATAATCTTTAGATACGTCAGAAACTTGACTGGTAGTTAAGGAAAGAATGAAGGATTGGATATTACCTAACTGGAGAATATCATGACATCCTAGACCATGTTTCACTGCTCTGTAAAGTTGCTGCCTAAGGTTTCTACAGAATAATGTGTTAGCACTGTGTGATAGGTCAGCACTTCAGGGACTCCACACTGGGGGAGTAAACATGGAGTGAGGAGTAGCGACACTGTAGTGTTTATATTATAACCCCTGGGATGCTAAAACAGTTGTTTTTAAGAATTTAATTTAGACTTGAGTTTTCAAGGTGGAATAGGCTTAGAAATATGTAAAAAGCCATGTTTTTAGACTGTATTAAAAATTTTAAAACTATATCATTACCAAAAGTTTGGTTATAGTTTATTTGTTCTAAAAAGACATTCCAAAGACATTTTGTAAAGTAGAAATTGGATTTCTACCAGTGTTGTTTTAAATAAGGACGATTTAAGTATTTAGAATGTAGCCTTGAATGTAAGGGAGATGAGGCAAAAAAAAAAAAAAATCCTCACTTCTAATCCCTTCATGTGCCTTTACTTGCCTGATGCACGCAGAGGACCTGTGGAGGCTGGAGCTGTATGGGAACAACTAGACGACAGTCTTCCCTTTAGCCAGGACTGCACATGCTCTGCTGTCTGGGTGCTTTCCAGACATTTCACTTAAACTGACAGGAATCCTTGGGTGTTTAAGGACTTGAGGGGCCAAGTGATTTTTGTAAAGCTAATGGAGTAGTTGGGTCTTAGACTCCACTTCATTTAAAGTTAGAGGCTGGTAAATATTTTCTGTATTGGCCAAACAGTAAATAGTTTAGGCTCTGCAAGCTGCTGGTTGTCAGTTTGAACTCTTGCTGCTGTAGTGAGCATGGCAGAGTGCCGCCAGCAGAACGCTTTAACAGATTGTGTGCTGACTCTGCTTTCTAGCTCGAGAGTGAGAACAGTCCTAAGGTTTCAGAGTGTCATTCTGGGATCTCAGGATAAATCTGATATGGAACAACACACAGGAAACTAATTTGGGATAGGACTGTAACATACTCAAATAGTGCTTAACTTCATTAAAAAAAAATACTTACAAAAAGTAGTCTGTGATACTGAGGTCATTTTTCATTGGCCCCACCCCACCCTCCTTTACTCCAAACAAAGGTTTGAACCAATGTCTGTTCTGTGGTTCTTGAGCCAACTGTACAACAGCTGTTATAAAAGTGTTTATTGTTTACCAAAACCAGTGGACCTCTTATCAAATGTTGCTTGGTAACAAAATCTCATCACAGTTTAATAAAAAACAAAGGAAAGAAAGAAAGCTAACTATTTGTCTCAGTGTCATTAGTTAGACTTTCTGCAAGGTCACTTAATCCAGACTTGTTTAGTACGCTAATCAGATTATCCATTGTTGCATGAGCTCCTTCTTGATCTTGCCAGGCAACAAGGAGCTGCTTGGCCCTCATCTTCATGTCCTCACTGTCACTCTCAATCTGCCTCATTTCAGAGTCTTTAATTTCCAAGTAAGGAGCCAAAATCTTCCATTGCTCACCAAGTTTGTTAGCAAATAACTCTATCTGTTCCCCTGTTATAGGTTTATCTTGCCGAACATCGGGACCTAGAAGAGAAGAGGATATAAATATGTGCAGTTCTAAGTATCTGGAAGAGTAAAGCTAAAAACCACTGGGTACTTTACAACCTAATTCTACACACACACACACACACACACACACACACACACACACACACACACACCGGTCAATGCTCAAAGCTATTTTAATTAGATTTTTCGTAGATGCTCCCTCTAGCCCTAGTTAGCAGAGTTTAAAACACCTCTATCTTTATTACCTTTTAAATTGGCCACTTCCAAATTTCATTATACAAAAATATATTTTAAGTGACAATGGTTTTAATTTCTCATGTAAGTGAAAGTAGACCCGAGATAAAAAGGTAGAAGTTGAGAAACAGATCAACCTACTTAACGTACCCCTTAACAAAGAGTCCTTATCTTTTCCAAATTTGTAAACTAGCCAAAAAATTTCAATTCTTACTTTCATTTTCCTTCAGTAAAGCATCATTATCTTCCTCATCTTCATCTTCACCTGTCTTTATTTCTTCAGAAGGAGGCTATAGTAAATGAGAAACAGTGTTTAAAGAACACTAGTTTCTGAAGATAACAAGCAGTTCTGTTTGGATATGTGATGATACAGTTATAGATTTCAGTAGTGGCATCAGTCCCCTCATTTTGGGCAGAAGGAAAACTGAGAAGCATGAACAAGCCAGTTTGCAAATACCTAGGCCTTAGTATTGTCTAAGGGGCAATAGAGATTTGACCATGTCTATAATTACCACACTGTAAGAAAACACTGGAAAGTTCTGCCAGAAACCCTACAGCCACTCCTAGACCCTGTCCTTTGACAAAAGACAGTAAAATACACTGGCAAAGAAGAAAACTGATTTAGTTTACTGCAGATAGTTTCTGAACACAGTTTTAAACTGCATGCTGCAGGAAGTGGAAGTCAAAGAACTTTCTAGTGGCTTGAGGTATCGGCGGGAACTGCCGAGTAGCGTGAGCAGCCATTACCAGAGCCGGAGCTGCCGGTTAAACCTGATCAAGATGACAACGTCCCAAAAGCACCGAGGCTTCGTGGCAGAGCCCATTGGGGAAAAGCCAGTGGGGAGCCTGGCCGGGATTGGTGAAGTCCTGGGCAAGAAGCTGGAGGAAAGGGGCTTTGATAAGGCTTATGTGGTTCTTGGCCAGTTTCTGGTGCTAAAGAAAGACGAAGACCTCTTCCGAGAATGGCTGAAAGACACGTGTGGTGCCAATGCCAAGCAGTCCCGGGACTGCTTTGGGTGCCTTCGAGAATGGTGCGATGCCTTCTTGTAGTGCACTCTGGGCACTCCTCAGTCCCCCCAGCCACAGAATCTAGTCTCCAGAGTCAGCAGCTGGGTGGGGCTCCTCCCTGTCCCCATGAAGGAAAAGATTGCTGTTGCCACAATCACCTCCTTTGTACTCCGGGGTCTTTTGGGAGTTCTCTTCCCCACAGCCTTTCATCCATTTTGGAATTCTTGCCCTTGCATGCCTCGCCCCTCCTCCCCCTGCAGGTCGATGGCAACAGCTACCAGTTTTCCTGAATGGATTTCTGGCCCCTTTCTCCCTCCCTTCACCATCTGTTGGATGCACTTTGGCTCCCTTCCTTTTTTTTTTTTTTTTTTTTGGCAAAAATAGTCACTCTCCTTATAAATATTTCTAGATTAATAAAGTCAGTGGCCTTCAAAAAGAAAAACAAAACTGCATGCTGCAGTTAAGTGAACACCGAGCAACAGTCCTCCCCATTCTAAAACATGGTGCTCCATAGATCACTATTTTTGTGATAAACTAAACTGATAGCAATTTTAAAGCAGATAATGTTCACTAAAGGAAATGGGAAAAGATGAAGTATGTTACTTACTGGTAGTTCTTTGGCTAGCTTTATTACCATGTTCTCAAGGTACTCTGGGAGACTCTTAAACTGCTGGTTGGTTGGCTGGAAGAAGTGAGGGCTTCTCCGTGCTAAGAGTCGGAGTGCTCTCCACCCGTAATTTGAATTGTTCACAGCTCTGTAAGAAGAGTTGTCAGCCTTGTAACTCACAGTTATCCACTTCCAAAGTTCTTTCCACGTGACATGACATTTGTACATTATTACAAATAAGAGCCCACAGTACCATCTTTATTTCATTTTGCTCATTTTAGCAAGTTAATCTGGCTATATAGAAGAAACAGGAAAAAAGATATTTGGTGAGCTGGTATCCATATCTGTAATACACCTAACAGATCTGAGTTCAGAGTATTCAAGTTTATGACATTAATGTAACTAATACAAATTGAAGGCCTCTAATGTTTAAGAGACCTGCACTGTTTAACCTGTCTCAAAATGCTTGGCTGCTGCTAAGGTCTAAAATGTTCCAAATATGGGGAAAAAATCTGAAAACACAGCTTCAGGTATTTTGAATAAGGAATAAGGGTTGTATTTGAATAACACCTAATCTTTAATTCACTTAGTATCAACCTCAATGAATAAAAACGGCTCAAAATGCTAAAAGAGCAAATATCCAGTACCACAGTAGTGACACCCTGACGTCAAGAAGATAAGAAGAAAGCGAGGACAAAGGACCTGTGAGATCTTACAGACAGACACAGCCACAAGAATAAAACAGATTCTGTGTAGGGTCTGTTAGGATTTTTGTCCACCCTGCAATCCCCAAATGCACAGCTCTGCAATCTGGTTCATTTAGTGCTCTCTTATTAACTGTGGGATATACACACTCAATTCAAGCATAAGAAAGATTTTAGCACAAGATCAGAATTGGTGCATATTTTACTGATAGGATCTTACTCTGTTAAAACAGACTAAGCTCAAACTCAATCCTCCTGCTTCAGCTTCCTGAGTACTGGGATTATTAGGTATGTGCTACCATTCCTACCCGTGCATGTGTGTGTGTATTTCGTTTTTAGACAGGGTCTTTGTAGACCAGGCTGGCCTCAACCTCACCTGCCCTGCCTTGTGGGTACTATGTGTATGGGTGTTTTGCCTGCATGATTGTGTATCATATGCACGCAGTGCCAAAGACAGCCAGAAGATGTCATGTCAAATCCTCTGGAACTGGAGGAGTCAAAGATGGCTGTTAGCCACCATGTGGGTACTGGGACTCAAATCCGGGTCCTCTGCAAGAGCACAGCCAGCGCTCTTAAACCTCTGAGTCATTTTTCCAGCCTATATATGTTTATTTTAAAGATCACTCTCTGGTGCATGGAGAATAGAACATACATTAGTTAGGAGATTGGAACACAGGGCCAAAACTAACCATTTATATCATGTGCTAACGACATGGCTCAAAATTAACCATTTAATCTTTAGAATCAGCCTGTGAGATGAGTGGTTACTACTTAGCAAATGAGAAAAGGGACACAGGGAGTATTTTGTTAGAACTAGACACCTGGCTACTAAAGTGGCACAGGGGATGGGAACCTGCACATTCTGACAAAAGGGGCTTAGCCTTTAAACCACAACTCCAAAACACCTACTTAAAAACTAACTGTTGTCCCATGGGTCACTTTAGATAAAAGATGGTGAGTCTTAAAAGTTACCCCAAAAATTTAAGCTAAGGCAGCAGATGTGGAGGCAGGTGGATGGAACAGCAAGTTAAAAGGCCCGTGGGTGGTTTCATGGATGCCACAATAGGTCTACTGGCAGAGAAGAGTCCTGTGGAGCTACTTCAGTGGAATGACTGGGAACATAGCCTCGAGTGGTTGGGCTGAATGGGTGAGAAAGCAAGGACAGGAACTAAACTGGCAGGAGGTGACAGGGAGGTGTGGGGTGAGAGTCTTCAACTTGAAACAGGTTATTGCAAGTCACGTTACAGTGATGTGAACTGTGTACATAAACTCTCCTAACAGCACTACTCTGCTGACTTCATATACTTAATAGCATACAAAGGATTCCCAAGAATCCATGTTTTAACCATGTTCATCAGAACATTACTTACTTATATTCACTTTCAACCATATTTTCAGGATCTGCTTGTTCAATGGCTTCTTCAAAGAACTCCTCCAAAGTTGGCATGTATTCTCTAGTCATTAAAGAAAACAGTGAGGTTCATCTGTAATACTCTAAAATGGCGGTAATATAAATTTTAACAGTATCCACAAGTGCTAATTACAGCTAGGATCTAAATGCAGGAATTCTTTAAGGGGAAAGACTGAAAGCTTATTCTAAAATGGAACCACAAAGAAGATATAGGCTTCAAAACTGTTCAGCTCATAGTTTGGCCACTGTTACTGTTACTCTTTCAATGTTGAGTTTCCATTTTTTTTTTTCTTGTTGAAACTTCTTTTCTTCTTACTTGCTAAAATTTTATCAGCATTTCTAGGTGATTTAAGCCAAACCATATATTGTCAACCAACCACAATAACCTTTTAGCTTTGATCTCAGCTAAGAAACAGTTCTATTTTACTTTACTGAACATTGAGAAGACTAACAAAAGTTTTACACTTGCCTTGTCTCTGATTTACAGGCTTCCATATTATCAGGACAGAGGTTCCAAAGCCTTGTTAACTCTTCACTACAAAATAAGGCAGACATAGTTTCATATGGATGGCATCCTTAGTATGTTATAAAACTGCATATTATAACGTAAGTAGTAGGTTGGGGTGATGACAGTAATTTTCTATATACGTATATATTTAGTGAAAAATCTCAAATCATTTTTCAAAATCTATTTAGTTGTAATAAAAAACGGGGAATTTACTGGAAAGGTTTAGTAACTAGAAGTTGAGCTGCAGTGGCCTAAGCAGTTGTACTACCCATGACATGGAAAAGATGGCAGAGCCTATCGACAAGCACTTTGGAAGCGGGAGAAAAAAGGATAGCTTCAGTGGTTGCATGAATTTGGTCACTGGAGAGTTTATGTCTCTTTGGTTGTGAGCCTATCCTTTAATGGCTGAGCCATCTCTTCAGCCCACCTGGAGAGTTCTTAGAGTAATTTCAAAATATAAAAATAGCAAGAACTTAGGAAGATGAATGGACATACTTGCCAATCAGGATTTTCTTGTTGGGCCCTTTGCCTAAGAAGTCTTCTGGGGCTGCTCTCTTCCGCACCACTCTTGTGGGCTTGGTGTCTGATGCTCTGTGAACAAATGAACAAAGACATTCTGTGGACAGTAAGTGGACATCAGAAACGGGGGAGTGTATCTGTGGTGAGCACTTGCCTAATGTGCACAAGCCCAGCAAAACAAATACAATTATTGGTTTTGCACTGAATATGAAAGCTTCATAGTATGACAAAACACTCATCAGACAGAAGACAAAAATACCACATTATAGGGCAAAAGACAATATTTTCAACACCAACTTACTCTGAGAACTTAACTATAATCAAGCTGTACTTTGAAATGTCTTTTATATTTCTTGTATCTATTTACCTTTCTTTCACAAAACTTGGGCAGCCTTCATTTTTCCATGAGTTCCAATTTTCTTCAGTATTTAATATATGCTAGGATAAACAAAAGACATTACATCTGCATAAAAGAATATTTTAGAATTATGTTTGGTACTAAGAAAACCAGGGATCAAATACATACCTCTACCATCTTTGAAAATCTTTCTCCATCGGGGGGGTTTTCAGATAGCAGCTGTGATTAGAAAGAATATACTAAGCTTTCAACAACTTTCTGCATCATAGGATGGTTTGTAGGCAGAGAACCAAGAAGTGTTTGTGATCTTGTACCTGAGCTTAACTTTATCCTTATTTTCCTATTTGGGGCTGAAACAAAGAAAATTCTAAATTTCCATTTTTCAATCATGGGTTTGTTGCATGTTGGACTTACTTGGTAGACCGATTTTGTAGTATCTTCAATCCAGAGTGATTGCTCATCAGTTAAAACATAGTTTGAACTAGGGAAAGAGAACATGTGCATGCATGAGTTACAGCATATATGTTCATGCTGAGGTTTATTTATGGCACCAAAAATTAACCACATATCAAAAAATTACCAAGAACCATCACAAATGTGAAGAGTATGAGAAAATTCTTCCACTTAATCTTGTCGAGGGTTAGACTTGAAGTTGTGAAAGTATAAAGGCAAATAAAACATTCAACTAACTGATCTGACTACAGTAATAAATATTTCATAAATTTAATGAGATAAAAATTTGAGAAAACATTAATACATAATACTCTACATGATGCATATTCAAATAGGCATGCTTTTTGTTTGTTTTTTTTAAGACAGGGTTTCTCTGTGTAAAGGTTCTGACTGTCTTGGAACTTACTCTGTAGACCAGGCTGGCCTTGAACTCACAGACTCACCTCCAGAGTGCTGGGATTAAAGGCATGTGCCACCACCGCCCAGTGCATATTTTCTTTAAAACGTATTTTAAATACAAACCCTAGAAAAGGTTACTGCTCCAAAGCTATCAACAAATATAGCTAGATTGTCATCTGCCGGGATTTTACCACTGGCTCAGAATCTGCAGTATATATGAAAGAGAGTACAGTAACTGCCGA